GTTACCATATCAACCCACATCAGATAACCAATAAATTAATGGATACGTGCATAAACACTGCCATGTGCTCCTGCTTGACTTGTCATGCATATGGTAGTCTGTCAAGGTAAACAGGATGATTTCTGTACGGTTTGGTAGCACGAATACCTTAACATGAGTAAGGCCTTTAAGAAAACTGGTACTGCGCTTCACAAAATTGAATTTGTACTGCAACATGCAGAAATATAATCATGGCAGACTCATCACACTCTGCATGTGACTTCAGCTGTTCCCCTCTGGTAGACATTTTAGATTATTCACATCTTCTTCATGTTTTCATGGTTTAAGAACAGATTGTTCCCAAATGTTGTAAGGCTACTGAACAATTGCTGTGTCACTCCTCCTTTTATGATTACTGATGTGCTCTATATCCTGTTGTATGGTGATATTTAAGTGGTATTTCATTTACACTGTCAAAGTTTATGTTTACATTTACAGAGCAACTATTCTGCACTTATTGCACATTTGAGGTATGTTGTGTTTGCAATACTATAGAGACCTACTGTATTCTGCATTATACGTTATCAATCCTTTAGTCCTACAATGTGCTATGTTGTATACTTAAAACTGTGTATTTATTCTGTGTAGCGTTATAGCGATCCTAGACTACCCAAAATTTAGATTAGATTAAATAATCTTTTAAATATTGATCCCAGGGGAAAATTGTTTTATTTATAAATCAATATTTATAATGTATACATTTATTTGATTTATAATTTATAAATTAAGACAATAAATGTTTTTCTTGACTTCTACAATGCCTTTAATACTGTATAACATCCCATTATTTTTGCACCTTTAAATAATTTTGGTGTAACTTAATACATAATGTAATACATATCTTTTCAATAATTTTAATATTCTCCACTTTTTGGTACTTTGCCATAGATTGTTTTCGAATGAGATATCTCTCAGTACTACCCAGCCTTCTGTTTCCGTGGCTGAACTCTTCAATTTGCATATAATACATTGCTCAGATATTGAAGGTAGTAAAATTTGTAATAGCACTGATTATCAGCCAGCTGATACCTGACTTTTTCTCAGAGATGTGTCTCAAGTTTCAGTGGTTTTATACAGCCTGTGCCACTGTATAGGAGCTCTGATTTATCTGTGAATACCCATATCAATTAAATCATGTGTGTGCATCAATCATATGACAATAGTATTAAGGCAATATATATATATGAATGTTAAATATCTGAATATTGACATATGCTAATCTGAAAGAACAGTTAAAAAATTCCAAACAAAACAGAATACAGCAAAAAACATATTCAGTTGTTGAACAGATCTAATAATTTATGGAAGAGTTCTGTTGACAAGCAGAGGAATATCACAGTTAGTGAAACTTGAAATTTATGCTGATCACAGTAAGAGAGGGTTTTGTGTATTTGGGTGGTCAGACAATTAACTATGTTTTCAAATAAAATGGGATAAAGATGTTCCTTTGTAATTTTGACCTACCCTGGTATTGAATCAGTTCTTGAAGTGGGAAAAAATAAGTGCAGGAACTCTAATTTTCCGACATTTGACATTTTTGAAAAAAAAATCAAGTCTTTAGGATGTTTTGGTTCAAAAACTATTTTAATTTAATCATTCTTCCAAGCAATAACCTATAGGCATAGGCTACTTTTTTCTAATTCACAAATGGAATACTGAAAAACCATTAAAACAACATGAACCAGACCAGTGTGATACTTGTAGGCCTAACAATAGACTAGGGCTAAAGCTGATGCGATTGGTTGGGACTCAGTGGATGCATATGATAGGGCACTGTCGTGGCTCGTGGGTGATGTAGTCTTTTATCGGTCTTGTGATATTGTCTATTCTCGGGCCACTGTCGCTGCGTCGGATCAGTTTCAGTAAGTACCTGAACGCAGAAAAAAGTGGCGGAACCCAAAAGACGAAAATACAGAAGTTCTGGAACTGTGTTCCGGCCCACTTCATGCACTGTATTGAATCCATATTTGATCTTTGAATGTTGTGCTCTCATGTAGTTATAAATGTACTAAATGTTCTAATTTTCACAAGCGATCACTTGATTCCAGGAAGATCACATTTAAGCATGACTTCTGCCTTCACACCTACATGGAATAACAAACTTGTTTTATTGGCCAACAGGTCACTGTTCATAAAAAAGTCTGTTGAACAAAACCATATTTTTACATCTTCTGAATCAACAATGGGGCATCTGATGATTTTGTAGCACAGAAAATATTTGAAATGAAATATTTCTTTTAAAAAAAATTATGAGTCACACGGAGCGTCAGTATTACTTTTAAAGTTTAATTAGACCTATACTTAAACCATGACTGTGAAAATATATGCCTTCACCTTTAATTGGTAGGCTCAGCATTTTAGAAATGAATGAATTAGCTAAATGTAATAATTAACTTAGTAGGAAGACTTTAATTTCATGTTACAGTAGTATTTCTAGGGCAACTGAAGAGCTTTATATGAAAATATGAAGAAAAATAATGTGGATTAGGCCACATACATTACAGAAGTTAGTTGTAAGATTCTTTATTATCCATGCAGATTCTTTAGAGTACATTCTTTTACAACATATCTCCTCTATCTTCTGTGGATATGAAATTCAAAGAAGCCTGGTACCCATGTGAAGTAAAAGAGCTGAGGGTTGCTGGGATTGCTATCAATGCCTAGGTCTTGTTCATTTTGAATTTGACTATGTACTGAAAGTATGTACCACACAAGATAAAGATAAAGATGCTTTATTGTCATTGTAAGCATAATGAGATTTAGTTTGGAACGCGCCAGCAGATGCACAGTATACTTACAATGAAATAGAATCTGGAGCATAAAATAGAAAATAGTTTCACAAATCATTAGTTTCCCAGCTAGGAGGGGAATGCAGCTCCTAATATGTGTAGTCCAGAACAACGAATGCAAGTCTTGCTTTGCTAGATTAGAGAGCATTTACAACATGATATATACACTCACCTAAAGGATTATTAGGAACACCATACTAATACGGTGTTTGACCCCCTTTCGCCTTCAGAACTGCCTTAATTCTACGTGGCATTGATTCAACAAGGTGCTGAAAGCATTCTTTAGAAATGTTGGCCCATATTGATAGGATAGCATTTTGCAGTTGATGGAGATTTGTGGGATGCACATCCAGGGCACGAAGCTCCCGTTCCACCACATCCCAAAGATGCTCTATTGGGTTGAGATCTGGTGACTGTGGGGGCCATTTTAGTACAGTGAACTCATTGTCATGTTCAAGAAACCAATTTGAAATGATTCGAGCTTTGTGACATGGTGCATTATCCTGCTGGAAGTAGCCATCAGAGGATGAGTACATGGTGGTCATAACGGGATGGACATGGTCAGAAACAATGCTCAGGTAGGCCGTGGCATTTAAACGATGCCCAATTGGCACTAAGGGGAATAAAGTGTGCCAAGAAAACATCCCCCACACCATTACACCACCACCACCAGCCTGCACAGTGGTAACAAGGCATGATGGATCCATGTTCTCATTCTGTTTACGCCAAATTCTGACTCTACCATTTGAATGTCTCAACAGAAATCGAGACTCATCAGACAAGGCAACATTTTTCCAGTCTTCAACTGTCCAATTTTGGTGAGCTCGTGCAAATTGTAGACTCTTTTTCCTATTTGTAGTGGAGATGAGTGGTACCCGGTGGGGTCTTCTGCTGTTGTAGCCCATCCGCCTCAAGGTTGTGCATGTTGTGGCTTCACAAATGCTTTGCTGCATACCTCGGTTGTAACGAGTGGTTATTTCAGTCAAAGTTGCTCTTCTATCAGCTTGAATCAGTCGGCCCATTCTCCTCTGACCTCTAGCATCAACAAGGCATTTTCGCCCACAGGACTGCCGCATACTGGATGTTTTTCCCTTTGCACACCATTCTTTGTAAACCCTAGAAATGGTTGTGCGTGAAAATCCCAGTAACTGAGCAGATTGTGAAATACTCAGACCGGCCCGTCTGGCACCAACAACCATGCCACGCTCAAAATTGCTTAAATCACCTTTCTTTCCCATTCTGACATTCAGTTTGGAGTTCAGGAGATTGTCTTGACCTGGACCACACCCCTAAATGCATTGAAGCAACTGCCATGTGATTGGTTGATTAGATAATTGCATTAATGAGAAATTGAACAGGTGTTCCTAATAATCCTTTAGGTGAGTGTATATATATATATATATATATATATATATATATATATAGACTTAGTTGTAATATAACTGAATAAATGTAGGGTAATTACATGTAATCCATATAGTCATAAAACTGACAAAGATATGCATTGTATAACATAATATCTTGTAAGAAGATGTAGTTTTACTCCAAGTATGTTGTCAGAAAGTCTTTGCATAAAATAATGGAAAATAGTAGTTTATGGCCTTGGAAGACTGCAGGCCGTAGAGGAGCTATCAAGAAACAATAAGGAACATCTGGTGATATTGTGCAGGACGCGGGAAAGGTGTAAAATGTATGATGATTTGTAAATCAGAGCCTTTTTTGCTTTGCATGCGGCGAATCTCTTTACCAACAAAACGGAAACTTCACCTACTCTAAGGTGCCTGCAATTTATGTTCGTTGGAATTTTTTTTATTTCCTTATTTCTTTAGATGAAAAAGAAGACGGAATCATTTACCACTTGTTTCACATCTCTCCCACATACCCCGAATGTTAATGTATTATTTCGTATGTTTCTTTGTTGTTACAAAAAAAAAAAATCGGTTCTGAGCTGGCGGAAACCATGTACTTCTTACATGGAGGGGGACTGCGTCTCCTGTGACAAAAATAATCAAATGTAAATGAGGTGTTACAAATTTAAACTGGACTACGGGGACAATTACGCTGACATACAACTAAGCCATGAAAGGAAAATAAAAATCGCACTTTAATGTTTCAGCCCAGGTAGTATTTCACAAATCGGGACTGACTGTCGTCATGCATTTACAGTAAAGCGACTTCCGGTCACATGACATCGGGGGTGTGTATGTGTTTGGGGGAGATGTACGCTTCATGTAAACATCGTCGGACCGAAATTTGCCCCGAATTGTTACCCGATAGGCAGTACCTTTAAACAATATCTCTGCACGGCCGACAGCAGCCGGACAGCTATTCATGACAGGCCGACCACTGTCGATCGATGGCCATGGACGTCCCTGTGAATCTGAGGGTGAATTTCAGGGGCAGGGTGGAGAGCTTCCTTGTTTCGGACTGGAAAAGGTCGAGCTGGGAGTCCATGGAGGCCATGGTGAGGACTTCGTTGCCGCGAGAGCTTGGCCTGGAGCCTGCATGTAAACACAGCTACCCTATGGGACCCCTGGAGGGTCGTGTAATTTATTTGCGTATGATTTGTTAACTACATTATCTATAATTTCCGAACAGTTTCCTGTATGAAATTTAAGATAAATATCTAATTTCGGGACCTCTCTAATGCTAATTCGTCAGCCAGCTGTGAAACACGGACAACTAGCTGGCATGTAGGCGTTATTTAGTAAACTGCCAGTGCCCTTTTAACGGATATTGCTGTCGTTGTAAACGGGAACAAAGAACTAGATGATCACGTCTTAATTTCTAGTCAGTGACACGTCCAGGGAGAGGCTTTTTTTAAAAAAAAAAAAAAAGATGGCAGGATTATTGTGTTCCCGGATTAATGCGGGTCTGATCTAAACCGCTTGTCTTGTTTGCTTTGTTATTTATTTATATATTTATTTGTCTATCGTAGCTTGTATCCGTATTTTACGGTTTCATAGTGTACCCATTAATATTATTATACAAATATGGGTGATATTATTTAGAAACGGGTGCAGCAGCAGGATACCATGTATCAAAGCAGACAGTATGTTGTTTACGTGTCCCTACTGGCTACGTCACCGGGTGGCACCTACGTCACCACGCTCGGTCCAGCGTCATTTTCTTTGTTCTTTTACCGCCTGCGATAAGGGCCACTTCTAAAAGGTTTGAAGATCTTAGTTTTTCTCGAGACTTCATGAAGAAATTAGTGGAAACCTAAATTGGGAAAACCTCTAAGGATCTTTCACAATGTCATGTTATATCACAATTTAGAAAGTCATGTTAGGCAGAAACCCCTTTCTAGATTTACTTAAACTCTCTGTGGGCTTTCGCCTCACAGAGGATTTTCTGCAATTAAATGGAATTTGCATATTCTCTGTTGTTTGGTGTGACTTTCTTCTGGAAAACTGGTTTCCAGTGTGCATGCCCCTTAGGATCCATTCATATGCTTTTTATTTATTTAAATGAGATAGTCTTTAGCTTTTCTGACTAGCTAGTTTGATTGGTAGGTAGAGGTACACAGACAGACAGCATCACACACCCTTGAAGAAGCTGGACATAGTTACTCTCCTGGCCACCGGATTCAAACCCATGACCCTCCAGACACAGATGTAGATTCCTAACCTGCTGAACTACAGACATCATCCCCTGATCATTTTTAAAAACCATTAGTTAACTGTTTAATGGGAAATGCTGCTGGTGAGAGTGTCTCAGGATCAAGTTGCAGCATCCAGTCTGAGGAGGTGGGATCCTGCTGGGAAGTAGCCGCAGCAGGAGGCCTATTACTATTTTCAGTTACTTCACCTGCTCCTTAACTGCCCACCATCCAACTGTGGACTAGTACCTTGCAATTAATTCCTGCAGAGAAGTTTTAAAACATAAATGGCTCTGAGAATGTCAGACACAACCTCAGGGTTACTTTACTCTGGTGGAGATGTTTTTATTCATCACGCTTCTGTTTGCTTCTGCCTCCTGGTGATGGTCTTACTTCCATCCAAGCAAGGGAACGCTTCACTTATCTGTGTAGATCAATGTTTCCCAATCAAGTCCTCAGTGACCCCCAGTCGGTCCATGTTTTTGCTCCCTCCATGTTCCCTATCAGACAGTCCACATTTTTACTGGGAGCTGGAAGGGAGCAAAAACGTGGACTGTCTGTGGGTCCCCGAAGACGGGATTGGGAAACACTGCTGTAGACAATTCAGGGTTGCTTTTGCTTCATCTTTTACTTCACCTGAATGTATGGTGTTTTCTTCAAAGCATGACATTTACTTTGGAAAACAATTCTAGTGCCATTCAAAGTACAGGTGTTCACATGCTTTGTGTTGTTCTAATTTTGACAGATGAAGACGTCATTTGGTTTGACCAGCTTGCAAGTTAAATATTTGGATGAGGACAAAGAGGAGGTCAGTTAACCTGATGCTGTAGCGATGTGTATTTAAGCACCTTTTCTTTAAACATTAAAATATACTAATAAACATTACTCTAGCTTTATAAAACTTCTTTCTATATTTCAGGTTTTCATAAACTCTCAAGGTAAGTGATTAGTATAGCAGTATATAATGCCTAGACTAATTTTTATAAAATGTTTATGAACTAATAAAATAAAATTACATGTCTGAGAGTACAATAGATACAAAAGACAAATATTTAAAAAATAGGGTGCAGTGTATTTGACTATTATTTTATTTTGTTACAGAAGAGTATCAAGAAGCTCTAAAGGTATTGGATTTTTTTGAGTATATGCACAATGTTTTAATGTACTTGAGTTAGATTTTATATATATGCAATAAATTGGTTTTGCTGTGTTACCTGTGTATATTGCATTACTCATAACAGTACAGTGGTACCTCAGAACTCAAACTTAATCCGTTCAGAACTCCGGATCGAATCCTAAAAAGTTCGGGTTCTGATCAAATTCTCCCCACAAGAAATAATGGAAAACCAATTAATTGGTTCCCGGCCCCCAAAAGTTACACCTAAATATGTTTTTTTTTTTTTTAGCATTCAAACACAAAATGAACCGGATAAAACAAGAAGAGCATATACTGTACTAAACACATCTATGGACATTTATCAAAACAGTAATTTGTAAAGTAAGAAAATAAATATATCCAATATGTAAAGTAAAAAAAAAAAAAAACAATGTGTCCTGCCCCGATCGTTCGCTCCTTCTGTGTACCACGCCCCCTCGTTAACCCCGTGTGTAATCCCTGTGTGATCAGCTGTTTCTGGTTGTTGTCATTAGTTCTCTGTATTTAGTCCGCGTTTCAGTTTGTTTCCCCAGTCCGGTCATTGTATTGTCCGTCTGCGTTTTGCCTGCCTTACCTGTAATTAAACCCCGTATCCCCCGATATCCTGACGTCTGCGCCTTTGTCTACATTCTGTCCCCACTCGGCACAACAATATTATTATAATTAAATGTATTAATGGTTTATTATTAATATTAAAATAATTAATAAGAAATCTTTATTTTAAAATGTATTTTATTATATAATAATAATTACTGTTACTGTCTCATTGTCTAAATGTATTTTTACTGTCTGAATATATGTATTCAGCTTGTGTAAACATGCACGATGCTATCACAGCGAATGCGAGGCTGAGACTGAAGCGTTACCCTTTGTTTCTGCTGAGAGACGTGCTGCGTGACTAATTTCCCCGCGCGTGCAAGTTATCTTAGGTTGGCGTTCACGGTTTGACTTCTGAGATTCAGATCGAGTACCAGGTATTTTTTTCCGAACTGGTTGGTTCGACTTTTAAGAAATTCAAGTTCTAATGTGTTCGAGAACTGAGGTACCACTGTAATTACACTATATTAAATAGAAATGTCAGATTTTATTTGTTAACACTGGATGCTATTTGGTAAGGAATTAGCAGGTTTCCGAGGAGAGTACTTCTCCTTGACTTCTCAAGTTTTAAACATATTTAAACATGATGTGCATCGGAACAAAACCTGCAAATTGAAGGGAACCTATCAGTGTTGAGGTTAAATGTTTTGTAACCCACCCCGCCTTAAACAACCCTGTCACAGAGTGCAGTGAAGCAGGGCTACCAGCTCAACATGAATGTGTACAAGACGAAAGCTCCAGCGGACAGAGTGGTGAAGGCCAAGGGGAAAGAGGTGAAGACCCGTGCCAGGCCGGCCCCACCCTACCCATCCATGATCAAGACTGTGGACCGAGAGACGCAGGTGCCAGTCCTGGAGCAGGATGGGGTAAGAGGTCCAGTCAAGTGGTAACTGCTTAATGAAATGACAGAACAGAAAGGCTTGCAGCTAGCTGGGCCAAGGCACAACTTCTAAAGAAAAGTGCAAATGCTTTATTTAAAAACTCAAGACACTTAAATCTATTTTGGTTCACAGGCACCAATATCTTTTTGTTGTTTTGTTTGAAAAGTGTGCTTAACGTATCTATCTTTTACATATATGCAGTTTTGTTTGACATTTTGTTATGCAGCTTAGTTAAACTGTCTTTATTAAGCTTAACTTAAATGTCCAAATACTTTTTGGGCCCACTGTGTGTGTTATATGGTTTTTTTTTTCCAGAAAATTGCTGTTTATTTAGTGTATACCTGCACCACCTGGACTAATTCATAAAATACATGTGTTGGAATGAGAATGTTTTTTTGTTTTTTTGCGAGGGGGGGGGGGTCTTTTGGAGACAGATGACACTTGTCAGTGTTGGTGCCTTATTCTTTAGAACAGGCAAAGAAGACATTTTTGTACTATTGCTTTTTTTGACCCCTAGGTGTTGTCAGAGGTAAGGGAGAGCAGAGAAGACAATGAAGCCCCTCCACAGTGGTTTACGTCTTACATGGAGAAGGTGGGTGGCTTGAAAATGTACCTAGAAAAATGAACATCTAGTCTATTAACTAAGGAGTAAGTATAGCAGAAAAAAAATGTCCTGTCCATTACAGGTTTGGTCAGCAGGGGCGCCGAGCTCATAACTGTGACAAATTATTTTGAGACCGGCTTGTCATCATTGACTGTTGCTGTCAGGCACCCACAAGAGCACATGCTACTATGTTGAAATGAAGATGGCTTTCTGTGGTGGCATGTCTGTCTGCTGTTTGGCTCACTTGAAAGTGTGATGAAGCTGGCAGTGGATGGTGCGAGATACGGCCAGTACCCAGCATCCATTAGCATGACTGGCACAGGGCTAGCAGAATATGGTCAATACAAATCATCCCGCTGACACTGTCAGTACATAGCCCTTTATTTTTTGGTTAATGTAGTGCATATGATTGCTAGCTATATTAGTTTAGCTTTTGGTCATAATTAGGTAAATTTTTTTCATCTGTGTCATTTGTTGGATGTGAGTACATGCAATCTTGATCCAACGCTGCATGCAATCTTGGGTGAAATTCTGCATTTGTTTTTTAACACCACAAGGCCTTGAACAAGTTTATTTTTACAAGGTTGTTATCGCTCATTCCTCATACTATAAGCTGAGTAAGCAAAACACTTCATTGTGAAAGCCAGCAGCATATATAAGAAAAAAAGATGGTCACTCAAACCAGGAGTTTAAAGGAAAACAAGTTATGAACCAAAAACAAATTACATGAGTTGTCACTGTTTCCTGTAGTTGAAACAATATATAATTATGAGGACGCTTGTAAAACAGATTTTTTTCCCCACTGTTGTTTGTCTGTGTACCAATGTCCTTCTTTTCAGTTCAAAGACCAGGTGGTGAAGGAGGCAGTGGACAGGATCTGTCATGAGTTTTCCGGTCAGTGCTGCATTCACAAGCTCCCTCACCTGGCATCCACGGACCCAGCCGGGCCCAGCGTCCAGGTGCCCGAAGTCAGCTCCACTGTGCAGGGGGCTGCCGGCTCCACGACTTCCTGCAGTAGTTGCCAGGGCCAGATGTCAGGGGGTGGATACCAGTGTAGGTGCGTGCTCAAGTATCTGCTCCCTCTCTGTAGCAGGAGATAGACCTGGGTCTAGCTAGGTTTTCAGTAAAATATTTCATGAAACTTGAGGTGAAGTTGCTCATGAATGCCTGTTAGATCCAGAAGCACCTTAAGAAGACGCGGGCTTTAAGGTATGGCACGTTGCAGGAGGTATGCATGTGAAGAGGGTAGATGTGGCTATGACGCACACTTCGGTAAGCTGTGGCATTCAAATAATGCTCACTTAGACCTACGAGAACATTCCACACACTGTTACGCTACCAGCAGTAGTCTGCACCTTCGATATAAGCCAAGGATTCACAAAGTTCATGCCAAATTCGCAATAGATTTATGAGATGTGATGGCTTCCTCAGCTCTTCAGTCAGCCTGTTTTGGTCATCATATGCTCGCTGCAGTTTCATCATCCTTCCTTTTTAGTTGGCAGGAGTGGAACTCTGTGTCCTCTTTTGGTACAGCGATGATGCTTTTCTGCCTGTTAGAGATGCACACCACTGTTGTACTGAGCTGTTTGTTCTACACCTGTGACCTTCCTGTTAGCTTTAACAAGGCTGACGAATCTCCACAGACCTGTTGCAGACAGGATGTTTTCTCTTCATCAGTCCCTTCACTGTGAATTCTACACTCTGTTGCATGTGAAACTTCCAAGATAGGACTATTTCAGAGATGTTGGGCCCACCATGTCTGACCTTGATAATAAACTTAAATCATGTCATGCCCATTTTAATGCCTACTGGATCAGTAACTGACACTCGTGATCCTACCTTTGTGTTGTGTACTTTGAATTGGCTGTTTCCATTAACAAGCAGGTGTACCTAAAGTGGCCACTGAATGCATATTGTAACTTATCAAGAGGCCTAGAACTGTGTTTAGTTGCACTAGTTTGTTATGAATCTGTTCCCAGGAAGAGTAACACATCTGCTCTATAGCAATATCACCTTAGAGACATAACATTAGAAAATATTTCCAACTTGTTGAACAAGACAGCAAACAGATTTTTGACCCACTTATCAAAGATATGCATCCATCCATCCATCTTCCACACGTTATCTAGTGCAGAGTCATGGTGACGCATCCATCTTAATTTTTGCTGATTGGGAAATGGGGAGTGTACATACCAGACAGGGTGATGTCAGGCAGTGAGAATTCTCTGGCATATTTCCACCCCCCGGGGGTAGCATTTTCTGACACAAACGACTAGCCCTTGTCACCCATCCCCCTGCACTCTCATGAGTCCCAGTGTCCCTCCCATTGCTCCTTGGCTCTTTTCCTGCACCCATGAGCTCGCATTTTCTGGTTGTTTGCTGTGTGCCAACTAGTCTACTTGGCCTGTGCTGGTTCATCTCAGCTGAATTTCTCTTCCTGGTGCAGTGTGTGTCCAGCCTACACCCTTTGTGAGCAGTGCAGCTATGCCCATGACCCCAGCCACCACCTGCTGAGAGCTGGAACCCCCCTCTCCATCCCCGAGTACGGGGTGCCGGGGGAACACTACAGGTGCGTGAGTCAAGCTTTAAGGCAGCCCGTTACCAGAACTGCACCGTGCTTGTGGTGTCTGGAAATACACAATGGGAACACTGCAACCAGAGGTGGAAAGTTCAGGAAAATACAAATCCAGACCAAGGTTTTGTTTCAACCAACCAGCTGAGTGTTGAGTCACAGAGTACTCAACTGGTTGGTTGAAACGAAACCTTGGTCTGGATTTATACTTGCTGAACCTGAACTTTCTACCTCTGACTGCAACCTTATTTACATTTTACATATTTAGCAGAAGCTTTCGTCCAAGCGACTTGCAAGTGAGGCAAATAGCACATTAGAAACATACATGCTGTCGAGGAGTCGACTAGGCATAAGAGCATCTAGGCTGAGCTTCCAATGAATGCCCAGGTCCAAGTGTGAGCAGCACTGGAGCAGGAGCTACACAGCAACATCTAACAAGGCAAGAACCTAATAAGACTATTGAAGGACCAGAAGTGTGACATTAGAACATTCAGGGAACATGAAGAGACATCAGGCTGGTAGAGGCTAGTAGAACTTTAGGAATATACGGCCATGTTCCTGGAACTAGCCTAAGATGTTGAGGGCCTTGTGATTGCTGGCTTGTTATTCTGCTGAAAAGGGGCTGACAAAAGGTGCTCATGGTTTCTCAAAAGTGAAGTGTGGCAGAAGTTGCTGGTATGAATCAACACAAGACAAATTAAACATAAAATGGTTTGGGAAACTGGATCATGGACTGTCCTGAAAAAAATGTGTGCATATATGTATATATAAACCTTGATCCTGTGGGGGAAAGGTCAGTTTTTCTCCGTTGCTGAAGGTTACACATTTTTCAGAGAAGTGTTTGGTAATTCAGCTCAGCCTGGAGTGTGGTAGTCGGCAGAGATGTCTGATCTGTAACATGCTGGATAATGAGTCAGTCAGTAGGCAGCACTGTTGGATTAAGTGTTTTTTCATCAAATGTGAAAGGATTGTATGAAAAGTATCAGTTTGAGAACCCCTTCACAAAAAGGACATATTTATCAAAGGTCACGTGTACTGCTTTTGGAGGTCTGTTGTTACGGATATACTTCCTTACTTCTAATGAAATGCCTCTTATATGCTGGGTCTTTTTGCATTGCAGCCCATTATATGGTAACTGCTTAATAACAGCAGACAGTAATAACAGATGTATATCTGTTTCTGTAGCTCCTCTAGGCAGTCGAGTGCCCCTTGACTCGGGTGCGACACCCTTGCCTCAGCTTCACATGTGTCACTGTCACTTCGGCCCCCGGGCTTCCTCCAGGCTCCAGAGGCAAGGCGAACGGAGCTTCCGCAAAGCGGAGAAGCAGCGCCTGAAGGCGGAGAAGCGGCAGCTGAAGGCGGAGGTGAAGGAGATCAGGAAGCAGCTGAGGATGGAGAAGCGGGGCCTGCAGTTGAGCTCGGCTTGTGACCGCAGCCCTCAGCCTGTGCTGCTTGTTCCCCGGGGCACCCAGATCGCCAGTCCGGAGTAAGGGTCAGCCAGTCTGTCCAAATGCAGGGTGCTCCAGGGGCAGCTTGGGGTCAGAGGTTAAAGGCTGAAGGTTAAAGGTCAAAGGTTATTTGGGCTTCTTGCATTCGTTGCCTCTTCCTGTACCTCACCCCAGGTTCTCATCCCTAATCTACATTTTGTGTGTACAATATACAGCAAGCATTTTAATGTAATTAACATACATATTTCTTCACATGAACTATCCATCCACCCATTCTTCTTTCGTACCTCTTACTCGGAGCAGGGTCATGTTGATCCTGGAGTCTGTTCCAGGAAACATGGTAAAAGGCAGGGGACACCCTGGAAGGGATGCCAGTCTGGCACAGGGTACACACACAGTCTTCCACTATGCACAACTGAGAAGCTGCAGTTCACCAGACTCTCTGTGTTTGGACTGTGGGAGGAAGCCTGTGAACCTGGAGGAATCCAGGTGATACAAGGAGAACCCTGGAAATGTGAGGCTGCAGTGCTAAACGCTGAACCACCCAACTGCGAACTGCTTTGTTCGTAATGTCAGTCCACTGCCACCTAAGGAGTGGAAGGTGGATTCTTTTATTGTGGCTTCTCAACACGTTTGCTGGCATCGATTGTGCATCTTGACCTGGGGACCTAAGTTTTCCCCCCCATAGCCATCGATTGGGTTCTCTGTTGTTTGTTCCAACATCTACTGCGTGGTTTATGCACCATTAGAGATCCTGGGGAAAGCAGAAATGTTTCTGTTTTGGTTTCAAATTTTTTTTTTCTCTGCCAGTCTCCGTTTGTGGGAATGGGAAGTGGTATGCAGCAGTGAGTCAGCAGCCGGCTGCGCTTTAGCTGTCCTTGAAACGCTGATCGTGTGCCCCTCTGCTCTGCAGTAGAGAATGAGGAAATGGATGTGTCACAGTTCATATTCCTGTTCTTCTGCTAACAGTGAGGAATGTGTCTGTAATTTTAAGCAGTCACCGCTTCTTGTTCCCTTGTAAAAACAATACAGTAGTAAGACAGATTGTTTGTTGTTGGTGTTGTAAGTGTGCTGGACGCCTCTGCTGTGTTATGTTAGTGTTTTTGTGTGTTATGTACATTTTTGTACAGAGGAAACAAATCCATAGCCACAGTATAAAAGCTCCTCTATTTGGATATGTCTCCTATGAGCACTGATACTGTTTTGTCAGTGTGGCTTTGGTTAGGGATCAGAGCCCTCCAAGTTGGGTGGGGATCTTACAGAGCTATGCACGGTCTTTGGTAGGAGGCCTAAGATCGCCTGCCCCACCGTGGTTCCTGCCATGACTGCGCTGTTCCTTGATGAGAACCTGCCCGACGGGACCCGTATGCAGCCCGGCACGAAGTTCATAAAATACTGGAAGATGAGGAACACCGGATCCGTGTCCTGGACCACGGAGACCAAGGTACCGTAGCAAACACCAAGTGGTCAAAGCGCAGAGTGACTTTAGCGAATTACACGTTTAAATTAAATCTGTGCAGCTGCCATTTCATGAGATGGTTTTTCGACCTGGACATCCTCACTCGTCCCAGCAAGGTGATCGCTGCGCACTCTGGTCCCTGACTTAATCCATTCATCATGAATGATGCAATGGTAGCAGTAAATGTGAAATGGGGAAGTGCTGATGTGCTCGCACTCTCTGACTCATGTTAGCCAAAGCCAAATAATAGCACCATCTCTTTTTGTGCCTTATCTCTTCCTGGCTGTAGCACTAACAGTACACCTTACGTCTCATATAAGAAGATATGTTGTACATTTAGCTGACACTCTTCTCTGGAGTGACTTTTACTGTTTGCTTAGTAGGTGCTTCTGTCCACAGCAGCTTGCTTGCTGGTTGATTTTTACTTTTGGCTCATAGTTTGGTTGAAGGATAAACCATCAGGGCTCCTTTTGATTTCAAACAGACAGCCCTTCAGTCTCAATGTAGGGGTTCCTTACTCCCTGGGGGGGGGGTTCTAGGGCTTGCGGAAAGGAGCTTGATCAGGAATGTGACCATATCTATGTGCCTGCAGCTGAAGTTCATGTGGGGCAACTTGTCCCTGGCATCGCGGGAGAAGGGGAAGGAGGTGGCCGTGCCCTTCTTGCAGCCAGGCCAGGTGGGCGTGGTGAACGTGGCCTTCGTGGCACCGGTCATGGAGGGCACCTACACCTCGCACTGGCGCCTCGCCCACCGCGGGGAGCAGTTTGGCCCACGGGTGTGGTGTAGCATCGTGGTGGACGCCGATGCCCGACCGGAGAATGCCTCGCCATACTGCACTGCCCAGGCGAGTCCGAGCTGACATCCCCAACAATGCCCATCGTCTGTGTGTGCCGTCCATCCATCCATCCATCCATCCATCCATCCACCTACCTACTTTACTTATCAAGTTCCGGGTCTCACTAAGGCTAGAGCTCATCCCTGGAAGTGCAGGGCAGGGAACATGCCAGATGGGACGCCAGTCCATCACAGGCCGCACAAACACACATCAGCAATTTAGAGACACTGCTGCATCTAAAAGCTGATTCATTGTGTACTTCTGTGTGGAATACTGTAGCCTGACAGCTGTAGTTACATTGCTGGGAGGTGGGAGACTGGCCACGCTGTAGGTCACAGCTACGCCTTACCTGGAATCTCTCGCAAACAAGTGAGGCACATTCGCACCCTGGGCTTGAATTGAGTCGATAGCCCTTGAGGCGTGAGGCCGGGCCGATGCACTGTGACCCGCCTTGCTGTTATCGTGAGTCAATGGGCATTAAATTGTGGTTACAGGAGAAGGAGCACAGCACGGCGGATAAGGATGGGGCGTGCTGTGCCGCCGCTCGCGATCGCACGCCTGTGTCTACGGGCTCTGATAGGGAGTACTACATTCCCTCTGTGGACCTGCTCACGGCACAGGTATGGCGGTCGCGGCCCATTCAGCACCACGGCGACACGGCCGAGTAGCCCTCCCTGAAGATTCTGCTCTCTTTGCCTCAGGACCTCCTGTCTTTCGAGCTGCTTGACATCAACATCGTCCAGGAGCTGGAGAGGGTACCCCACAACACACCGGCAGGTAAGGCCTCCGGGCAGCGGGCCGGAACCCTAACGCTCTTTCTCTAGGGACGGCTGCAGTGTTTGTGTACCTCAGCAAGTCGCTACGATGAACCACCTGGCTGCATTTGTGTCGTCTGAATCCCTAGACATGACTCCATGCATGTCTCCTGTTCCGAACGACGGCGCCCTATCGGAGAAGCGTAATCTGTCCTTGATCAAGGTTGAGGCCGAAGCAGAGGGGGTGAAAAGCCTTCTGGGTAAGGGCTCTCCCTGATGGTCTTGTGCTTGGGCGTTCCTATTGGTCAGCCACGTACAGTGCAGTGATCGCTCTGTACAGCGAAACATGAAATGTATGGATCTTAGAGCAAAATAATTGCATGTCAAAGAGTATGTAAAAGCTAATCTCTCAACTGTGGCTGCTTGCACACCCATTGCGGAGCTGTCGTGCTCTATCTGCTTTTCCAGTCTAACAGGGTAGATTTTGGCTGAACTTGCAGTCGAGATTACGTGATCAGCAATGCAGTTGGTCTGTTGGCGTTTCAAAGCTTTCCATAATCCACCCCCCGCCCTCCCCCAATTTTTGTTTTTAATTTTTTAGGAACTACAGGATAGAAAGTAATGTTCAATAGAATATTTGTAAGATGTAGAGTAGACCAATTAAAGGCTTGCAGTATTACAGTTGTGTGTTGTGCTTGAAAATACGCTGTGATATGGCTGGATTGCATTCTCACACGCAGTGGGACACTGTATCAGGTAGACCTGTGTAAAGGTGGTCCTGCTTCTTTGGGATGCTCTGTTACTGGGATGGAGTTTTTGGGTAATATGAGAATTGTCTTTTTGCCTTTAAGCTAAGTAAAATCATCCCTGAGTTAGTGGATATTTTACCTGTGATATATATTAGAGCTATTTTAGCAGTGTGCAGCATGGGCAGAGCTGAAGTGCCAGGCGACAGGGCTCATACTCAGCATCCTCGCAGAATATGAATGCAGCACTGAATCAGCTACGATGGGCCGTTTTAACTGGCAGTAACAAACTGGCAAACGGAGAAGGTGCCACAGGCTGCGTGGCAGTGCACATCCATTCGGGGCTCAGATTCCGCTGCTTTCCCAAACCAGTACAGCTGGTCTTTTTAAACCATAACATGGGAATTACCTCTCTAATGGCCAGCTGGGGCATTTGTACGCCTGAGGCTGACTGTACATTTCCATGGTAACAAGCACTGGTCCAGACACAGCTTTTGTAACAGTCTGTCTGCCTCCTTCCGGCTCAGGTGCACCATGTGCATAATATTAATTGATGTCTGGCATCCCCATCCAAGGTGTTCCTATGCTTTGGGCTGTCAGGTCCAAGGGAGCCTGGAGCCTAGATTGGTCCTGAGCAAGTTTCCGCCAGTGTCAGGGTTTTAGCATATTCCATGCTGAAGATGTGGCTGGAGCCAACATGGCTTCTACAGCAGTATGGAATCAGCAGCTGATAGGCCAAGGGGACAGAAAGGGACTGGAATTTCAACCCCGCTAGGGCCTCTAGTTACAGACTCTTCCTCTAGGGGGACATTCTGAAGCTTCAGAGGAAATGTGGAGATTTAGCGTGCAGGTAAACAGGGACCTGTCTTGTAAAACTGTCTTTTTTCCGGTCTTTGTTCAGGTTGGTGGAAAACGAGAATTAATGTCCTGCACAAATTATACAGGGGTCTGCTATTTTCACCTTGGTCTCTCAATCTTCCGCTTTGTATATGTCCTTCCAATACTTACATGCCCTTAATACTAGTTTACACATGAGCCCATCCGAATATATATTGTTGATCTAGCAGATACGACATATAGCGCGTGATCTTCAGTGTTGCGCTTTTGATAATGGAACCTGTGTTAAGGACAGCGCTCGATGCATGGGGCTTTGACAATGTCACAGAAATGATACCCGAAGGTGCATTTCCCAGAAATAGATGTAGCACCTTCTTACCAGAAGCTTCTGCTATTAATGCTTGCATCGGGGTTTCCTGCCAGGGGTGGCGAAGGGGGCACCCAAGCAGCTGATGGCCGTTCCAGCCCAAGAGGAGGGTGAGGAGGACATTAGCGGAACGCAGTTCGTGTGCGAGACCGTGATTCGCTCGCTGACCTTGGAAGAAGCTCCGGACCGCAGACCTCTTCGCCGTGTGCAGGCCGACTGCAGCAGAGGTGGGTTTGCAGTGTACCCACAATGCATCGTGATGAGCACGCTGTTGGAATCGGGGCTCCTGTCAGGCCATAATGAGTATGAGGGTGTTCAAGCAGTCTTCTTAAGGACCCAGCGCCTCGCCTTAATAGGTTTCGTTATTCTTCCCCTGTATTGTTTTTAAGAATGAATTCCTTTTACTGAATTATAGTAACTTGCACAAAAATGTTGTAGAAACATTATGTAAACACAACCCTGCTGGCAAACCACTGTACCAGCGATTTTCAACCCATGGGTCGCAATCTAAGTTTGGGTGGTGGTAAGTTCTGGAACAATCACGAAGCAGATCACGAGTTGGAAATTTAAGCATTTTAGAACTGGCAAGCTCCTACGCTGATCCACGATCAGATTTCCCAAACCAAATCCTAGAATCAACCTATATAAACAGGTCTTAGGTCTGCAAATGCTTAGTGCAAGACTAGTGAACACTCAACCAATCCAAAAAGCCAAAAACACAGATGCTTAATTTAAAATTCACTGGCACATCCAATCAGGTTTGTGCGATAGGCATTGATTGGCGTGAATTGCACAGTGCACTGCACGCTTGATCGTAGTGTTAATTTAAACTTGTACAAAATATAGGGTCGTGACTGAGCTGGCATGGTAAAAATTGAGTTGCAGTGCAAAGAAGGTTGAGGACCACTTCACTGTACTGCCTGCTGTCCAAACCTCTGTACTCAGATTGGTCCTTGCCTGCTTGCTGTCTTGTAGCCCAGGAGCCTCTGCGCTGTGAGAGAGCTGGTCAGGAGCAGGCAGAAGGCAGAGGGACACCTTCTGTGGCCCCAGCAGTCGGGAAGAGTGAAGAGCCAGTCCATGGCCCCCCTGAAGCCATGCAGGATGAGCAGGCGGAGCCGGGTAAAGAGAGACGACACGCCATTGACTTGGAATGAAAAACTAGCAATTAGTATTTGTAATTAGTAATTGTTCTCTTGTATGTAGCAGTTTTTGCATGTACTTAGGTACAGGAAATGCTGCTGTGAGATCAGGGACTGCTGGTCAGATGGCTAATTGCAGTGCACTGCATTCTGTTCTGTTGTCAGAGACCTGCGCGGACGGCGAGGTCAGCAAGATGGGCATGGAGCCCGGCAGCCAATCGGAAGCCGAGGAAGACGGCGACAGGGACGAGGTGCGCAGCCAGGCATCTTCCGTCTCTTCCGAGGACTACATCGTCATCCTGCCCGACTGCTTCGACACCAGTCGCCCACTGGCCGAGTCCATGTACAGCTCTGCGCTGTCGCAGGCCGGCAGCACGGAGGGCGGCCCGGGACCCCTGGATCGCGCCACGCCGGAAGGCGAGCGCAAGGAGGAGGCCCTGTGTGCCAGTGGCGGCGACGGCGGCGTCAACGACATGCTGTGCACCTCCCAGACACTGGACGCCGTGCCCCTCACGCCGGTAGTGGTAACTACCCCAGGTCCTGCCACTCCGCTGTCACCTACCAGGCAAGACAATTGATGTGTAATACACATTTACACCAGAGATGGCGCCACCAATGATAGTGCTGATTGGTGCCCCAGCCTGTTTAATGCAGGACTATCTGTGGTCTGATTAACATACTGCCTCAAGTGGCCTGACCTTCGAACCTGAATGTTGCTTTAGGTCACAGTTGTCCTGTATGGTGGAATCGGGGGCCATTGTGAATGACAAGCTGTATCAGAGTGACGATCCCATGGACGGTGAGACCTGTCTGTCTCCTTTCCTGGCTGTCCACTGAAAGCTTTAAAAAAAGACATCTATGCACATATAGACTTTGCCAGCCGTAAAAAATGGATAGAGTGGGCAGTGGTTAGTTTTTTTTTTTTCTTTCTTTCTTATATGAAATTGAGTTTTGAGAAACATCTTTCTTTTGCGGCATGGACTGTGTGTTTTGTGGCTTGAAGAGGAAGGAAGTGTTATCAGTATCCTTAAAATAGCTGAACAAGATGCTACTGTGGTGCCTAGCAAGTTATGATAAGCCTGCTTTTCATTGGCATGACCCATTTTGAAGGTAAATGTCTAATCGGAGGAGAATTCTCAGAGGTTGCGCCGTTTTGTCGTCTTAGAAGTCTAGGGTTCTGGTTTGATGTTTCCCGATTCAGATACGCTGTCTTTTTGCGTTGTGCTTTTTCCGCTGGTCAGCATTTGACCTTCTCTTTACGGTCATGTGTCAGGGAGCAGTCGGGAGTCTTCCCCAGTCACAGTGACCCCACCTGACAGCGCTGACTCCAGTCAGCAGGACTCACAGGACCCCAGGTAGATAGTCTGTGTGTAAACCCTCCTTCCCTCCCCCTCCTGCAAACCCATCTTCACTGCCTCCCTCCTTCCCTGCTCCTCCTGCAATCCCCATCTTCACTGCCTCCTTCCTTCCCTGCTCCTCCTGTAAACCCCAGCTTCACTGCCTCCCTCCTTCCCTGCTCCTCCTGTAAACCCCCTCTTCACTGTACTCCTTCCTTCCCTGCAGGGCACACGGCGGTATCGCTGGCGGGCTTGTCAAGGGAGCTCTGTCTGTAGCAGCCTCAGCCTACAAGGCCCTCTTCACTGGCCAGCCCGGTCCACCATTGGTCAGTTCACTCATTTCCATGTTTAGTATGTCAGAAATAATGGCTGATAGTCCAAACTGTGACCGCTGTCCCTGACCTCCTGCCTGCCTCGCAGCCGCCCGGGGACGCAGCCAGCCAGGACACCACCATGATGGCAGTGCTGCTGGAAATGGGCTTCGGAGACCGGCAGCTCAACCGGCGGCTGCTGCGGAAACACAACCACAACCTGCTGGACGTGGTCAATGAGCTGGTGCAGATGGCCGACAACGAGTGGTACGCCACGCGTTACTGAGGACAGAGCCTCCCACGCCGAGGCCAGCTTCCTGCTCCTGCCGCTCCTCCTCCTCTCTCTCGTAGGACAGCGCTCCCGTTGCTGCGTAGATCAACCCCACACGTGGCGGCCAGATACCGCTTGCTGACTCCTGCGTGAGGCGCTACAGTGGTTTCCCCATTTCTTTATATTAAACTTCACAGTGAAAGTGGCATATAAGTAAAATTGTTAGGTAAAGGCCTCTGTGTTTGGTGATATATTATCTCTAACGTAGCTGGGACACTTGTGCTATTACCAGGGTAAACAAACAAAACAGGGAATAAGGTCAGCATATATGGAGAACAGCAGTGTAACAGTCTAAACACACAATATAACCTCCTGCCTAATGATTCTTCTAGTGTACCTGCTAGAACATAATACGGTAGTGCTAAATTAATCTGGGCTTTTGTGCGACTTTAAGACAGTTGTTATAGCTCAAACGTGTAGATATGTATTGAAACTTTGTATAAATGACATGCATGACTGTCTCTGTGGAGAGTACAACCCATTTTTTGTGACAGGCTGGGATAAAACAAACCGCCATATTTAGAGGTACCAGAGGCGACGGAGGTTTGGAATGCACTGCTGAACGTTAACAATGCGATGCAAAATGTTACCGTTTCTTTTCCATGGAGGACCGAGTTGGTGGTCTAGGAGCTTCACAGAGTGCTCAGTGCTTGAGAGAAAAGTGAGAGAGGGCTGGGGAGGGGCAACAAACATTCCTGTGTCCGTCAGTGAGACGCATTGTGATGCCACTGGCCTTTTTGTGCAGTAAATGTTGATAGACTTGGTAACGTTTCAGTTTCATTTCAAAATATTCCTTAACCTTAGGTGAGCCCGGTTTTAACCTGGGTAAGTAGTGGCTTAACTGAAGTGAACCTAAGGAGAAAGATGCTCTTTCCGAATCTCACTTGTCTGATTTGTCGAGAGCACATTGTATTGTTATGGTGCTGTGCTTGTGATGGATGCAGAGTTGACGCTTTTGTTAGTTCAAATCAGTTTAGTTGTGTTATATAAGTGAAAGCAGGACTCACTCTCTCCTTCTTCACATCTGGTTCTCTGTCTGAAAGCAGGGTACACTTTGGATTAGTCTCCAGTCCATGCTGGCTTAGAATAAGACCCTCTTCATTTTTTCGTTTTTAAGAATTCATTATAGGATTCTCATATTATTTGGCATGTGTTTCTGGTGTGACTTGACAGATAATGCTTAAAGCCATATATATTTCTTTTTTGCTGTTATATGTTCTCTCTCCCACGGCTAGAAATTTCTATTTAGAAGTACAATCTGGGTTTAGAGGCTCTGACTTCTTATTTCTCTTCTGTGCTACACTTTTCTCCGGGGGGGGGGGCTGGCTCTGTTGTTCTCAAGTGAACCAGTGATATGTTCGGCTCACGCTGTGGTGGTGAATAAGGGGCAACTGTGTGAAATTAACTGCAAGTGCAAGATTCATTTTCCCTGAAGGCTTAGACATGTTAAAATGCTCCTCAAGAACAAAGTGGTACAGCAGAGAATGTTTTTGTCTTTACTAGACTGGAGCTATATATAAAATATATATAATATATATATATATATTCTTTGTCTGATAAATTGTCCAAAGCAACCCAAATAAGTGATTTGAGTGCTGTGCATTTGAACTTTTACAATATGCGTGTGGAAGGAAAATGTAGAGGAATAAAACGTTTTTATGAAAATTTTAAGTGAAAGTGAGCAGAGTTCAATGTGCTTTTAATTTTTCAATCTTGAAGAGCCTCGACCCAGCATGACCAAGATGAGGGATGTGAGATGACTGTCTGAAATTGTCTGCCTGAAATTCAGTGGCGATGCTTTGCTGGGGGAAGTTGTAATGGGTTCAACAAGATTGTATGTATTACAAGGGATTTAAGTGTTGGGACCCACGGTACATTCCAGGTGGGGGGAGACTGAAGTACAAACCAGTAGAATTAACTTTTCTAAGTGGTGGCAAGCAGGGCGGTCAGTTAGCAGTGTCAATTGCTTATTAAGGTTGGGGGAGAAAACAGAAATTGTACGTCTGTAGCACAGGGTTGTGTTTCCTTGTCATACTGTCATCGCAGTTTTCCGAGGCTTGTGGTCGCAAATTGGAGGCAAACGCTATTTTTTTCAGCTTATAGATGAGGAAAAGACATAATAAAATTTAGCATTTGATAATCATCGTGTTTTTCCTTAGGGAAAGTGAAGTCTAGATTTACTGTGAAACAGGAAATGGTATTTATTAATGAGTACCTGCTTCAGTGCTAAGTGTTTGAGTCATACTCTTAGGTGTTATTGAGAAATGGTGGGGCTTGAGGTGGAATTGCTGTGCAGGTTCAGTTCATAGGTGTCTTAATAGGAATCCTTTTTTCCTTCATGGTGATGTCGCAGCCTTCAGTGGAACCTCTCCTCCACTCTTTAGTGATTAGACACATTTAAAATGGCACCAAAGGGGTTTTAATGACTAGACATGGCAGTAAGTCTGTTCCCCTGATGAGTGGATGGAGTGTGGAATCGCTCTGCTGCTGAAGGTCAGGAGCTGGTTTCACTGAAAGCTCCGTTGCATGAGCTGAGCATGGGATCTTAGGGGGACTGCTTTCATGCTTTTTGTTTTATGTTGGATAAGCACTTTACAGAAATGCACCTGTTCTAAAATCATGTTTGTTGCTGATATGATTTAATAAAGTTAATTATAATATCACTGCCTTTTTCTCCAGATTAATTTACTGACCTGAAGGAGGAATTTGGAATGTTTGGTTTAACTATATGAACATCCTTTTCCTTACTTGGTGTTCCAGTGTTTTAAGCCATCCATCTTTCATACAGCTTGTGTGGTACATGGTCACAGGGTCACTGGAGCCCATCCCAGAAAGAACAAGGTACAAGTCTGGGGGCTCCGGCATATCACAAGGCTCAGGATGCCCTGGATGGGTTTCCAGCCTATCACAAGGCTCAGGATGCCCTGGATGGGTTTCCAGCCTATCACAAGGCTCAGGATGCTCTGGATGGGTTTCCAGCCTATCACAAGGCTGGGGATGCCCTGGATGGGTTTCCAGCCTATCACAAGGCTGGGGATGCCCTGGATGGGTTTCCAGCCTATCGTAAGGCTGGGGATGCCCTGGATGGAGTGCCGGCCTATCACAAGGCTGAGGATGCCCTGGATGGGGTGCCGGCATATCACAAGGCTGAGGATGCCCTGGATGGGGTGCCGGCATATCACAAGGCTGGGGATGCCCTGGATGGGGTGCCGGCCTATCACAAGGCTGGGGATGCCCTGGATGGGGTGCCGGCCTATCACAAGGCTCACTCACTATGAGCAGTTAGAGCAGTTCATCTAGCTACATGCTTCTGGACTGTGAGTGGAAAACACGAGTGCCTGAACGAAACACATGTAAACTCCAAACACACAGAAGCAGGGGTAGGATAGGACCCCTGGCACTTAGGTGTGAGGCTACAGCAGGGCTCTTCAAATCTGTCCCTCAATTTCAAATCCAGGCCTTGTTTTCAGTTCTCCCAGGTAAGTAGGTGAATTAGTACTGATTATGATTGGCCACAGAGGCTTCAGACCTGGCTCACAGACAAAGAAAGTCTATAACATTAATAACCATAGTCCAGGCCTGCTTTAAATAGCCTTTCAGTCAGTGGTTCTCTTCATGCTGAAGTGTGATGGTTCAGAGAAGTCTCAGTTCTTTGTACACTGCTGTAATGATCCAGCATTTATTTCCACTTAATTTATTACGGCAGACATGGGTCAAACTCATTCCTGCTAGGTAGTGTCTCTTCCTGTCCCAGTAAAATATGTCTTAATATTTTACTACAATAAAATTCTAAATTATAAAAGATTGAGATGGTGTTAGTTACATTGTATCATGAAATCACAAATAAATGAACCTATTGATCAATTTTAAGTGATTTCACCATTTTGGTTTGGAGGATGTTTCCATGTTGTTAAGCATATAATATTACAAAAGCTGAGAGTTTACTTAAGCCATTGTAGTGAAGAATCGAGAGTCAGGTATCAAAAGGACGGATATTTTAAATCCATTTATTTGTGATTTTTAGACAAAAGAAAACTAAACACTCTTGGAGATATTTTACTGGTATATTAAGCCACATTTGGGCACAGGAAAATGTACAATGTAGGAATGACTGGCATATTTATATGAGACTGATGTATTGCGGGGCGATTGCTTATTTAGCCAGGAAATATATTTTTGCCAGTCTTACCATTGTTTTTATAACCGCTGTATTAAAAGATTAGGTGCGGCTCAGGTGTTTTTACTGTTGAAGTAAGCTAAAAATGCCGCAGGCGCCGATATATATGCAGTACCGCAAGCTGCCACTGAGTGGAACCCGACGAGTGCTCTTGCGGAAAAGGAAAGGGGTCGTTGGACGATTTTGTAACCATCGACGTACTTGTCGTCTCATGATCATAATCTATGTGATCCTTTCAGCATGATGACGGATAACCCCAGTAGTCTATCCGTGGGGTAAGACGTTTAATTTCACGCATACTTTTTGCAGCGGGCTATTTTACCGAGATCATAGCGATTAAACAGATGTTGCGTTGTTTATTTTTTGTTCTGTATACCAAATTTTGCAATCTGCTGTTTGGTAGTCAGTCAGATGTTTAATCATGTTTCCCCTAACACGGGAGTGTTGCGTGATTGCGTGCTTGTGATTTTGTGTGATATTTTTTTTGTAAAAATTGCTCACAAGTTCAAATATTTAGACAGACTGAAGGTAAGGACATCCGCGTGTTAAAAATATTTGTTGGCAGAACAGACGGGTGAGTTTGAAAATAATTTGTAAAATAACTTTAAAATCGGGAGGGGATTCAAAATCTCTATTTCCGTGCCGAGGCAGAACAAGCTTTACAACTTCTACTACCGCATATGGGCGCCAGGCTTTACTGCTTTATACTGCAGTGAATCCGTCACAGATTCGTCAATTTTCTTCGAGTCTATTTTCGGTTTTGAAGTTCAGGGACACTTGTTTTAGTGTTGGATTGAATGTCCAGAGCTGGAGTCATGACTCATTTGAGACCTCAATTACAGTACGATTAGTTGCGTATTCAGTGCATTTATTCAAAACCGTTTTCAAACACTTTTATAAATCTGAGAATTTTACTGAAGTAATTCGGGTTAAATACTTAATTAAAACCTAGAGCAGCATCCTGAACTCGCAGCCTTTTGGTCATAAATCCATCCGCTGCCCTGGAACTGAAAGTTCATGCAAAGAATTAAGGTACCTAGGTAAGAAGGTACCTTACCTATGATCTCAAGCAACCAGTTTATTCTGTGACTGCAGAATGGACGGATCCTGATCTGGCTAGGCACTATATAAAAAGGACACAAACATGGGGGTGTCCTTTGGGCAAAAGCATAGTTCCCCAGAGGAGGAGAAGGATGTTCCAGTGCTCGACAAGGCGAGGAGAGCATCTCGGAGGGATTACGGCAGTATTGGCGGGGAGGACTCCTTGGACTGCCCCACTTGTCAGGGTACAGGACGCATCCCACGAGGTGGGTCTTCTGGCTTGTCCGACCGGCCAGGTCCTCCTGCTGTATACATTTGTATGCATAAAGAAGCCCCAAGCCTTGTGTGAATGTGTCATGGTTGTGTCTGTGTTGTGGTGGCGGATCAGCCCAAGCACATTGTTTTACTTCCCCTTCGGGTCTTCACAGGCCTGGAGAAAAAGCTGGTGGCAGTCATTCCATGCAGTGACCAGAGGCTGAAGCCGCCACAGACGTAAGAGTCCTTTGATAACAGCTCCCGCACATTTGCGCAGAGAGTAGCATGCAGGAGACATGCCCATTCAACAATGCTCCTGCAGACGGTCATTGCTATCGTGTTACTTAATCAGTGTGTCTTTGGAACTTGAGTGTGTTTTGCAGTCAGGTCAGTGGAAATCACTCAAATGTTAAATTACCTTATTTTTAATCATTGCATCTACTTAAATCTCTACCTTGTGTGACTGTTAATATTCAAAATTCACCATGTTCCAACTTAAGTATTTGTAGTGTATACATGAAGTTGAATGTATGTTTGTTTTTTCTTAATGACAGTATTTCTTTAAAGGCATAATCCACGCTTAATCCATGCCTCTTTAATTATTGTTCCGTTCTTGCTAGGTGAACTTTCAATAGTTAATATATAATATTCCTTTTTATGAGCTAGATACATTAGAGCTGTGGTGGTTCTGCAAAGTCAACGCAGAGAGGAGTTGACTGGATCTCATTTTACGGGCTGTCTGCAGTGTCTTTGACATGTTCGCTTGAGACTGTATAAGCACATTTGTATATCTGATATACTTCAGTGTTAAGACGGCAGAGGCGGCATACAATTAGTCACCTCTTAGAATGTGTCAATGTATTAAAAATAGTAGGTCTTGGTGATACATTTTGCCGCTGTTGTTTCTCAAAGGTGTCATGTGTTGTCTCCTCCCCAGGAAGCGCTATGTCTGCATATCCGTGCTGCTGTGCCTCGTAGTCTGTATGTTAGTCCTCTTCTTCCTCTTCCCGCGGACTGTTTCACTTTCCCCTATGGCCATCAAATCTGTCCTGGTGTACTTCTCTCCAGCCACGGTCAATATGACTGTCAAAGTGAGTACACTTGGCACCGCTGTGCTGACTAAGCATTCACAGTCACTCAGTCACAGTCATTCAGTCACAGTCACTCAGTCTGCCATTTGCGATGTGTTGTGCATCAATTAGACCTGTTCATTTGGTTATTTCCAGAACATTATTAACATCAGCAATGAGAACTTTGTCACCGTGGAGGCCCACAATCTGGACTTGCAGGTTTTGATCGTCGACACCATTGTTGGAAAATTCAAGATTAGCAATGTTACTACAGTGAAACCACGCTCAGTTAAGCCGGTGAGTCCCAGCCTTGTCTACATGGCATTTAATTTTTAGCATTTTGCTTTTAACAATCATAAAGTCATCAATAGAAGATTAAATGGTTAACTAAATCAAGTATGTGAGGACCACAGTCAGAACCCATCAACTGAGAGGGGTGTACCAAACAGACCTGAAGTATTTTAACAGAAATAATGAATGAATATGGCACAGGAGTACAGGACACTGTGGTGAAAAGCTGTAAAATCAGCTCTGTAATTTTGTTGTAAAGACAACATGTAGTCCATGTTGACATCTATATCTAGTCATGCTGACTGTTTCATTGTAATGTTCCTAGTAAAACCGGTTGATTGTTTTGTAGGCTTGGGGGATTATCGTATCATTCAGTATTGGCAAGACACAAGCCGTTATGAAAATGAATCTAACAAATCCTCCTTTTTATGAAGTAAATCTGGCTAAATCTTATTAGGTTGCAGATGAGCAAGAGATATAAAGTAATAGAAAACAGTAACTGAGCACTTTGATACTGAAACACCCAAAACGGATATCATTTTTTATTTTTATTTTTTAATATGTTTTCTGGATATATGATGTGTGTATTTCTGGGTGTATTTCAGTTGCAAGTTATTGGTCCTTTAACTAATCTTCTATAAATGTCCTTTTTCAGTATGAGTATGACATCCTTGTCTCAATTGACGACCCTGGACTGAAGTAAGTGAAAATTATGTCTGTTATTACTGATAGTACTGCTAAAAACCTTAATGACTGAGGTATTAGTGTGAACCTGAAATCAGTAACATGGCTTAGTAAAAAATCAGCAAAGTCACAGTTTTACTCATGGGCTGTTTTTTCATGTCATGCAGTGAATATTGCAGAAAAACATCAATCCGAATCCACACCTTGTTTTTGCATCTGCAGTGAGTATCGCACTTCTTAGCTGTCAGGCCATTTTTGGTCTGTTCTTGCACCCCCAGCTGCTGCTGTACCTTTGTGTGGTTCATGTAGGTCATCGATTCACTTGAGGAACATCACTCACTGTCCTGCTGTGTTTCACTTAGACAGGTTCTGCTTCTGTGCTGTGGTGGTAGGATTAAAAATAAATGTAGTTTCTGCATCGCCAGTTTCATAAATCAAAACTGGAAACCACTTTGGAGGTGGGGGGGGGGGGGGGGGGTTACTGCCGCAGAGGAGACCACTCATGCACTTAGCATGCTTTAAAGAGAGTTCACTTCACTGTGTGTTTTCACACTGTGGGAGGAAAAGGAAAAACTTGGGGAAAACCCACCTAAAAATGTGAGTTTTAGGAGCGTCGTTACTGTGGGATACAGTCGCCATCCATCCATCCATCCATGTTCTGCACCCGCTAGTCCTATTCAGGGGGGGTCCAGAGCCTATCCTGGATGCTACGGGCATAAGGCAGAGAACAATCCTGGATGGGGCGCCAACTGATTGCGAGACACACTCACACACCATTCGCTCACACATGCCCTTAATAGAGACTGTATCCAGGGCAGCATGATGGCCCAGTGGACAGCACTGCACTGTATCACAGCCCAGTGGACAGCACTGCACTGTATCACCTCCCAGTGGACAGCACTGTACTGTATCACCTCCCAGTGGACAGCACTGCACTGTATCACCTCCTACTGTGCCGCCGTAGATACAGGCTCCATTAAGGTTAAATATTACTGATCTGTGTAAAAGGAGTTTAGTCAGTTATGGTTGCATGTTAATTTTTGCCAACGGGCAGGGTATCTTGTGTGACCCAGTGGCCTTAAGCAAACACTAAAAGAGCAAATGAGTTGATTTTTACACTCTCTGTTATTGTAATGTCATGTTCCTATGTTCCTGTAGTACTTATCACTTTTTACAAAAATGTCAACATAAATGGTAGGATAACTGAATGTATTTTTTACTTTTAAAGTATTGTATAAATGCTGTAACAACCAGCTTTTTTGGCTAATTGTTAATTGTCTCTGTCTGTCTCCTACAGAATCAAAATGACTGTGTACTATCTCGCTCATTCTGAGCAGCTGTCCTTGGACACCTATGAATATGTTGACTGTGGAACAAACACAACTGTCCCCCACATTATTCAGGCCATGTGACCTTGAGGTTGGGAAAACAGCGGCTGTGGGGGGGGCTAGTGACCCCCCCTGTTTCAGGCAGTAATACCGAACTCTGTACTTAAAGTGCAAAAGAATTTTTGCCTTGTAAGGGAATTTTAAAAGCAAAGATTGTTTTTAAACCAGGGCAGGAAACATCTGACTTTTCATGCCAAGATGGCTTGTTGACATAGTGCATTTTCTTAGGGAGGAAATTTCTCTGAAATAACTGAAATATACCTGGTACCGCCTCCATAGCAGTTATATGCATGTCCAATGTATCAGCAAGTTGTATCCATAATGTATTGGTAGCCTTTCCAAGCCATTAATGTAAACCTGAATTGGTATATTAGCACCTGGGTGTGGCTAATCGTCCTTCGATAAGTTCTGCTTTAAGACCATTTCCTGTTTCTGCTGTCCTTTGTTATATCTGCTAATATTCTCATTCATGGAGCATAACTCGAAGTGAGAAATTTTGTTTGAAAAGTTTGATTTCCTTTTTTTCATATAGGGAAGTGAAAATGATGACTCTGTGGTGCTGATTACTGCTACTTAAATGTGTTTAGAAGAGACTAAAAGAACCAAGTATATAGTGTTTTAAGAGTGGGTTTAGGAGAGAATAAAAGAACCAAGTATACTGTGTTGTAAAAGTGTGTTTAGGAGGAACTAAAAGAATCAAGCGCAGTGTCGTTATCGTGTAACTGACAGTTAACCTGAAATTTGCAGTTTATCATGCTAGCCACAAGGTGGAGCCATCTTTTTTTCCTCTGTCACTGTTTTCCATTTTGAATGATTTTTAATATATTGTGGTTGTCTGGTGGTGTCTGTTTAAATTTTCTGTATTTTCCATGTAACATTATCATAATCAACCACCTTTATATCTTTCAAATGCGGAAGTTGTTGAAATTATTTTTTCCGTCAGTTATTTTTTTACACATTTTTACATCAGTAATGATCCAGATGATGATATGAGGGAAATGTTATTTTGTTACTTCCTGGCTATAAGATTAACTTCCTCTGTTACCTGTCAATAAACTGAATGTTTTTAAGACACTGTCTAGCTTTGTGCCCCCAGGCTGCCTTTGCCTGTTTTTGGCTCTTACAGATTCCCCTTCCATTTATAGTCCAAACAAATATCTCCCTCACTGGACAGATCTCTGCTGGAAGGGGAACCAGACGATGCTGCTTTCTATTTCTGGCTTGACTGAAGCACCCTGAAGCTTGGCTACAGGCAGACAGGGGGCAGAGGTATAGGCAGTCCAGATGGAGCTGGAATGTGGCTGCGTCATGTTTGGGGGGGGGCATTTTGAACCCTGATGGGGGCTTCTTAATTTAGAGGAAATGCTGCTCAGATAGAATAACGCTTCAGATAAATGAATAGATTTCCATGCGGTAAACAAGGGATTATCGGTTTGATGGAAATCTGCGAGCGGGGTCTGAAGGAGCTGAATGGAAACTGAGGGGTGCCTCTCCAAAAGGCTAAACTGTTTCCAAAATTGCGCAGTAATTGTTCCCTTGCCACCTCCACCACACTTATTGGTTTGCTTGATGACCCTCAGGTGACCTTAAGACAGAAGGTCACGGTACCTCCACTTCTCAGAAAATATGAAGTGTCTCCTAAACACCTTGGCTTCTCTGCTCCATTATAAACAAAAGGCGCGGGGGATCAGCTATTTCCGTTTATTACATTTGCATCCGCTACAGTAGCGTTGTTGATGCTATGCAGAGGTGGTTCATGGGACAGCGCTTGCTCTCCTGTTCCAGGTTCTGCTCGGGCTTCTCACCACTGCTGGGAGTATTCTATGGACTGAAAGCAGGAAGAGAGAGCATTTTATATCTCTCATCAATACTTTGATTTTTTTTTAATTGCTGATATTTTATTATAATATTTATTATAATATCTCGCTCTGGAGTCTCCAAAATGCACTGTGAAGTTACGTACCAAATGTATTTACTCTCTTTGCATTATGTTAAGGGTCTTAATCATATATTTTGTTTATATATTAATGCAGCAGATTCTGTGTTTATAGTGCAGTGTTTCCCAACCTTCAGGGGCCCCCAGACAGTCCACATTTTTGCTCCCTCACATAGATAATTTTTAACAAGTATGAGCAGTTACGGGAGCACGTAATGAGCATATTGAGGTGCACAATATGGAAAATGGGGAATTTTGCCTGGAAGCACAATATTTCACACATCACACTCACGGTGTATCTTCTCCCAAGCTTGGCGCCTCTGTCGTTGCTGCTTCTGATGTTTTTGCAGTGAACGCACTCGGTCACTGCCGGACAAAAAGGAAGACGATCAGTCACAAAGAGATGAGGGAAGGTTTCAGAGGAAGCCCAAGGAGCAGGACTTGGCTCAGAGCCAGGATAGAAGCTAGAATGTGGGGTGAGAGCCCTTCACTGAAATGTGGACACTCATGTCAGCCGTGTAATCCATGCAGTGAAGCGCACATAAGCTGTTGACATAGTTCTTGGGACCCTGGTTTGGCCTGAAAAAAAAGTGTGGCAGTATGTTCTAGGAAAGCAAGTAATCCAGGAGCCTAAGTAATAGTTTCATGTCATTCATGATGTGCCTGGTGTTTCCATCCTGAACATTCTGATCCCAGTATCCGTCTGTCATGAAAGCTGAATCACTGCTAATTAAAGCTGAGTTGCAGCCATTAATATTTAATCCACTTCCCCCCTACTGGTGGCCAATGGACTGTGATGGATTCTATCTACAACATAGTTAAGCTCTGCCTGACTGCCGCATGGCAGGTTTAACTAAGAGATTTAGGTCCTGCCTTCAGACGAGAGGCAGTGTTGTTTCTGTTAATGGGAAAATCGCTCAAGTGATTATAAACCAGTAGCTATTGACTCTTGCTAGATTGCTGTCCTAGTAAACAGACCATATCAGGATTTTAAAAACACACACTATTGTTCTCTAAGTGCTGGAATATTTTATTGTATTAATGACTTGGTTTTAGACACTTGCTAACACAGGAGACACGCATTTTTGTTTATTTCCCATTACTACCCAAAACATGGTTCAATGGGCACTACTGCCTCACGCCACCAGGGTTGAGAGGGTTTGCATCTCACTTCCAGTTTAATCCAACAGTTGAAAGACATTCAGTTGGGCAAATTGGTGTCTTTGTGCAGTGTGTGTGTGTGTGTGCCCTACAACGAATTGGCATCCCTTCCGAGGTGCATGGCACCCTTGTGCCCATTGCTGCCAGGGATAGGATCCAGGCCCCACCGCAACCTTGTTCATGATAAGGACATAGAGGAAGGACTAATACCTCTGAGATACTTGCTGCTCAACAGTGTCCCCTAATGGGTATTTAACATACCTGGAGGTGCTTCAGACATATTGAGTTGACTCTGTTCCTCTGTATGTGGTTTTGGTGGGTCTTTCTGCATCTGCACAAAACACAGTGATGAAAATCTGCTTTGAAACTTTCAGAGCACCAGCATACATGCCTAAGCCAAGGCTGAAATATTTCAAATGATGCTGGATCTTCAATGAAGCGCAACATTGAATCTGCTTTATGAGAAGCCAACTCATTTTTGTACATATCACCTCCTGCCAAATCCCATAAAATCCCTATAATGTGCTGAATGCAGAGAAAGTCCTGGTTTTCAGGATTAACAAGCAGCTCAGTGTTTAATATCCCAAAGCCTGTATGGGAAAAAAAGAATTGCATTAGTCACTCAGCTAAAACCTGTTTAGACAATGTTCCCATAGACTTTATTTTTTTGTTTCAAATAAAGTCATCATGATTAACATCAATAAATATCAAGCATTCTTAAGACTCCACCGGTCTCCAGTAGCCAGTGGTTGTAGCCAACTGAAAATATGTAGGTGCACTATAATGCTATAATGCTACAGGCTTTGCTATAAGAGAAACGTGACACACCAGCACCGGAGAGCGGAACCTGCCACCAGACTGTATTTACAGCTCAGTATGTAAATATCTCTTGTACAATAACATTTTAAATAAGTATATATGTATCCTAAAGGAAAAGTCACTGAATCAGGCCAAAACTCTTTCAAGAACCAAACACTGAACAAGTTTTAATTGTACCCCATGTATGAATAAATACTATATAAACTTATTTTGAGTCACATAAAACAGCAAAATGAATGAGCTGACAATTATACTACACTTGGTCTTAACCAAACAGCTAAGAAGGTGGGCAGTGGTGGCTTAATGGTTAGGGACGTGCGCTTGTAATTGAAAGATTGCAGGTTTGAATCCTGACCACTGAGGTACCCTGAGCAAGGTACTGCTCCCTGGGTGCTGAATTAGCTGCCCCCTGCTATGTCACGATGTCACACGTGGGTTAAAAGCAGAGGACGCATTTTGTTGTTGTGTGGTGTGTCAACAATGACCACTAAATTCTAATTCTATACTTGGCACAAATAATTTTATATTCCAAAACTACCAAAAGATTTCATCTATTTTGTACTGAAGTATTAAATGTGAACAATAAACATGAAAGAATAAAATACTCCAATAATCCAGTCAATATTAATAGTCCATTACCCTGGTTCCCAATTCATATTTCATGAAGAAAAAATGGTTTATCTAGCATATTTTGCATCTCATCTTCCTCATATATTTCCTGCACATGGTAGCATTGCTTAGGTGATAAATGGTTCATTCTGGATGCCACTGAGCTTGTGTTTGACATTAAGGAGATGGGCACACATTATCACACAACACATGATTATTAGTGATATATTTATTTTACAGTTCTGAGAACCAGCTATGTCCAAGGTGCACGCTTGGTCAAAGTTACAACATAAATTTTGGTGGACCAAGACTGTCCATTCATCTATCCATCCATTTTCTGTAAGCGCTGGTCCTATTCAGGGTTGCAGGGGGTCCAGAGCCTACAAGCGTAAGGCAGGGAACAACCCAGGAAGGGACGCGAACCCATCACAGGGCACACACACCACTCACTCACACACGCACACCTATGGGCAATTTGGTATTTCCAGTCAGCCTCGGCATGTTTTTGGACTGTGGGGGCGACACCAGAGTACCCAGAGGAAACCCCACGATGACACGGGGAGGACATGCAAACTCCACACACATGGAGCCATGGTGGAGACTCAAAACCAGGTCCCAGAGGTGTGAGGCGACAGTGCTAACCACTGCACCCCCTGCTGGCTAAACCATGAATCAAATTAGTCTCTTCTGCAACTACAACCTGCACAACCCTTGAGCAAGAAACAATAAGCTTGTGTATATACATATACGTATACAAACACACACATCTATCTATCTCTATCTCATTTATGGCTGTGATATTGTTTTAATGGACTGAGTCATATTCCTCCTGGTGAACTTGCTTAGCAATACATTGATACCTCAGTGATCATGGACAGCTAGATCATCAGGTCTTGTCTCCCAGTTCATCAACATGCTTCAGGGTGCCTGGGAGGCTCCGTTGCTGTAGATTTGCTTCATATCCAAAAACAACAGCTCTGCACGATGAGTCATCTCCATCTGATATGCTGCACATTTGCATGGCTAGAGGCCTCTTCTCATATTTTTTTTTCTACAGTTCTGTTCCAAGTAGGAAATTGCTGGATGTGACTGAATGCTCAATACCTTATCACAATACCTTATCAGCTGGAAAAAGACTCTGCTGGAATTCCACGTGTGTTGAAGTTCACCAGTATGCACAGGCTAGCTTCTTAATTATGAATAATCAGCTTTAAAAAGTACATATGTGATCACTGGGTGTCCTATGTCAAAGTAAAAGATTTATACCAGGATTTTCGTCTATTGGTTGTCATGTGTCAAAGAGTGTGACATAAAACGGTAGGCAACAGGCGTGTTGACAGGAGACACATAGAATGGACATATCAAAATCTTTAAGCCAACAAGTTCAACAACTCAGTCTTAAAAAAAATCCAAATATAAAAAGTACCTCCTCCAATAACAATAGATAATGGGTTCACAATGGTGACAATCCTGTTTTGATAGACCAGTTTGCCTACGACATTTACAGCGATGACATATGAAGAACTATTATCCTAATGTGTTGAAAT